TTTGCAGAGATTTTGTTTTCCAGCTGCTGACTCAGCTCTGTCCAGACTCTGGCTTTAGGAGTAGCTATCCTTCCCTTCTCCAGTAGTATGGCCTCCTTTGATGAGCAGAGAACTTCCAGAAGGGTATCTCTGTCTATTGCTGGCTGTTTGGGCATCTAGTTGAAGGAGAAGTGTCCAATTAGTATCAATCACTGTAATATTTGCACTAATTTGCAATCAATTTTGAGGGCTTCATTAAAACATTCTGTGTGTATGCATAAAGGAGGTCTGATGTTGCATGAAAGGCAAAATAAAATTGAATGGTGTTGCATTTGACATGATTCTGTAGTTTTTACTTTTTTTTTCCCCAAATGTCTTCACACTTAAGTGTCTGAAAAGGTGATATTTAACAATTTTCAGTCAATGAATATTTTTAATATACCAAATATATGCAAATTCATGTGTAAATCTAGCTGTTTTGTCTTTGCATTCATTGGTTTTTGCATTGTAGCATAATCTAAATTAGAAGAGGAATGTTGCTCTTTAAAGTCTCTTGTATTACCTGAGAATATTTTGAAATTTTACTTACCTTTTTTAAATCAGATGTTGAGATTATGATTAGGATATAGGCCTGCAGTAAAAACAAAATTTTTACTGGTGGGAGGGGGGGGGTCCAAGAAAACTGTGATGATCCGTAATAAATAGGAAGAGCCAACAACTACACAAAGTTTTATATATTGTAAACCAAGGCATCATCGCGTCATTATAAAGTTATTAGGCTATATCTTAAAAACCAAAACAGCACAAATGAAAATTTCTTCAGCACAAACCAGCACTAACGCAGCACAAAAGAACGAGACCATTTTCGTCCAGTTTGGACGATGTGGGGGGGCTGCGTGAACTTCGATTGACCTTTAAAAGATTATTTAATATCTTAAAAACCAAAACAGCACAAACGATATTTTTTTCTGCACAAACCAGCACTAACGCAGCACAAACGAACGAGACCATTTTCGTCCAGTTTGGATGATGTGGGGGGGCTGCGTGACGTCATCGCGTCATTATAAAGTTGTTATATCTTAAAAACCAAAACGGCACAAATGAAAATTTCTTCAGCACAAACCAGCACTAACAAAGCACAAACGAACGAGACCATTTTCGTCCAGTTTGGACGATGTGGGGGGGCTGCGTGAACTTAGATTGACCTTTAAAAGATTATTTAATATCTTAAAAACCAAAACAGCACAAACGATATTTTTTTCTGCACAAACCAGCACTAACGCAGCACAAACGATTGGGGCTATTTTCACTGACTTTTGCGTGGGGTGGGGGGCCAACTTCACGCAGGTGTTTGATCTCATGAACTTGCTCCACACTTGTATTGTTGACAGTTAAATTTAATTTTGGCTCGTCCAACAGCATACATCTGGTTCCAAACACAATACTTTTTGTTTTGCTAATGTTTAACGCTAGTTTATTGTTTTTGACCCACTCATTAACACATTTTAAGTTTTTCATTTATACAGTTTTGAGTTCTTCAATAGTTTTTTGTGATGAATAAATTGTGGAGTCATCTGCGTACATAGTGACTTTAGCTTTCTCAACTACTAACGGCAAATCATTTGTGTAAATAGAAAACAGGAGAGGACCTAAACAGCTTCCCTGCGGTATCCCACAGCTAACATTCTGTGAATCCGAGTAGCTTCCATTGAAGAAAACAGTTTGTCTCCTGTTTTCTAGATATCTTTCAAGCCAGAGTAATGCAGTTGAACTGAAACCATAACATTTCATTTTCCTCAGCAAAAGTTTGTGGTCGATAAGATCAAAGGCTGAACTAAAGTGTAACAGCACAGCACCTACCAGTCTCTTATTGTCTAGTGCACTAAGCCAGTCGGTCGTCATTTGTGCCATGGCTGTAGTTGTTGAGTGCCCTACTCTATATGCATGCTGGAAGTCAGTGTTCAAATGATTATCTGAAAAATATGTCTGTATTTGTTCAAAAACTATCCTCTCCATAATTTTGCTCAGGGTTGGCAGCAGGCTTATCGGTCTACTGTTAGGCCCACAAAAAGGAACAGCAGAGCTCTTTTGGAATGGTATTATCTTAGCAGTTTTCCAAGCCTGTGGATAGATACTTAAACCGAAACTCAAATTCAGAATGTGTGTAATTGGCAGAGCAATTAGATTTGCTACCATTTTCAGTAATTTTGCTTCAATGTTGTCCACACCAGATGGTTTACCTTTGCATTCATGTAATAATTTTTCTACTCTATTCACAGAAACTTCAACAAATTCAAATTTACACATTTTTCTTGCCATTATCTTATTTGATATCAATTCTTCCACTTTTGTGTTGTTACCCTGACCCATATCACTTCGAAGCTTATCAATTTTCTCAATGATGGTGTCATATCAACCAAGTCGAATGCTGCGCTTACAAAACACCAGACGTCTGGTGGTTCCTAAGGTCTCAAAAATCACTGCTGGCGGCAGAGCATTTAGCTACCAAGCTCCTTTACTGTGGAATCAGCTTCCCATTCATGTTAAGTAAGCAGATACGGTCTCCACATTCAAGGCCAGGCTTAAAGCACTCTACTTTAATTTAGCATATAATTAGGTAATATATAATATGTGGTGTATATATTATATATATATGCTGTATTATGTTATATATTATACAATATATGTATTATGTTGTGTATGTTATATATTATGCTGTATGTTATGTTATGTATTATATATGATATACATATCATATATGATTAGGTTTACACACTTGGTGTGCAATCCATGAATCTTTGTGCTGTAGCCTAGGCTAGCCTAGCCGTGGCCACTGCTGTCTCACCTCCTTTCAGATACGCTCTCTTTATTCAAGGCTAGGTTTTAAACAGTCCTCTTTAGTTTAGTATATGGCTAGGAAGGTAAGACTCAGGGAAGGCTAAACTCCTCAGACTGTCAGTCAAGCTACATAGGGAGTCAGTTTGCTGGGAGAAGTATGGTAACTTGAGCACTATCCTCTCCTCCTTCCTACATTACCCGTTTAGCATTATTAGGATTTTGACTGTAGTTTGTTCATTGCTATTCACCCGTTGTCCCATTGTCTGTTTCATGGTACGTTGACGGGACCTCCGAGCCTGGCCTCCTCCATCTACACCTGCGGACTGCCCTGGTAGTTAGTGTCCAACAGAAAGGATTGGTGATGATCAGGACACTGTAGCATTCTACAACATGTATGGACATTTTCTTCTGTGAGTGCTTTATATTTTTCATGTGTTTTAACTGTTGATTCTCTGATCGGTGTTGGTGATTTCAATGGTTTTGTTAAGCCCTCTGAGATGACTTCTGTCGTGACCTAGGGCTATACAAGAATAAATTGTATTGTTATTATATATATATTGGCCCAGTCGGTTATTGAAAACTACACATTCAAAAGAATCAACATTGCAGATGTCCTTTTTTTTAAAACATTTATTTAGAATGGAAGATGATTTACAACAAGTAATAGTTTGGAGAGAAGTCACTACGTCCATGTACAAAGAGCACAGCACCCACTAAAAGTTACAAATCAAAGATGGGATTAGGATGGTGAAGCATTTGGCATTTACAAATCTTCATCCATAAAAATATCTAAATATCTAAGTTCAAAAAGCCATACTAGCAAATTATATCAATTGGATTATTAGTTAAATCCCCAGCATACAAACATGGCAATGTATATCAAAATCTGAAACTGAGCGTTAATGAGACATTTGAGTTAGTGACCATTAGACATAAATGGTAGTGTTCCAAAAATGTATTTATCTTAAGATTTGCAATTTGAGCGAGCTCAAAACCATGTTTTTAAAAACAAAGGTGTCCGTCATGGTCAACAAGTTCCTGACATTAGCATGGGCAGAGCTAAAAAAAAAAAAAAAAAAAACAGACTTAGGTAAAACATTTGACATTCCCTTGACAAATCTGAGGTAACCCACATACAATCAAATCAAGATAAATGCTTAATTAAAACACATTTGACGATTTCATTGAGTTATTGACCCAGAAACGGGAAACAAGAGCCAAAAGTGCTTGTTTGGCCTTAGCATAGCTGTAAAACACACCGTGTGCTCAAAGTTGTTGGAAACTCGTGGATAGCTGCTAGAGAGCTTGGGCTACTGCAAATTGTAAAAAAAAAAAGAAAAAAAGAACTGGACTAGTTTGTTTTGATGTCAATATTCTAACAGGTTCACACTCGGTCAAGTGGACTCTTCAGAAATAAATGCGAACAGTTTCAAAAAAAGGGGGTTGAGGTGACGAGGGGTCCCGGGGGCTGTGAAATCACCAGAGTGTACGCAATATGAACAGGACAAGACCTGGCTTGTGGTGGTTCGTTTCTAATGTGTTTTCATTTGACTTTGACAAAAGAGATGGGTTAAACATTTTGTAAAGATGGATTCTCAAAAAGAACAAATAGAATGGTTTATGTAGTTGTGAAAACTGCTTAATGTTGCCTTAATATTTTTTTCCCCTTTTAAGATGAACTGTAAATCCTTCTGACTAGAAGATTTAACACTGACATTTAATTTATCCCTCCAAAATCGTGCGTTAATTCAGTCTTGTCTGCCCCAGTCTTTATCTCAAGACTATACTAAAACCCAAATGTGAACATGCCCTTAGCCAGTATAAATGAGAATCCTTCATGCTTGCTCGGACTCTGTGGCGGCCTCTTCTGCCGCCTCTTCGATGGGCTCTTCAGTTGGCCAGTCAGCCTGATCTTCAGCTGGCTCTTCTACAGCCAGCCCCTCTCCAATATCTGCTCCCTCCAGGACATGCTCGTCATGGGCCACGTAGTCCTCATCTCCCATCTCAAAGCCCTCCTCCTCAGGCTGGAAGTCTTGGGACACCTCTGGTGGTTCTTGAGTGTCCTGCTCTTCCGCCTGGACAGCCTCCGGGTCCAGGTTGAGTGGGGCTTCTTCCAGGACGTCTGAGGGAATAAGGCCTTCCAGCGGTGTGGTTTTGGCCAGCTCTCCGTCCCTGGCCTCAGCCCCAGCCTCAGCCTTCACCTCAGTGGCAGACACCTCCATCGCAATTGAATCGTCCGCCTCGTCTGGGTTGTTTATGAAAGGATTCTCCCCCTGAAGATAAACAAACGAACTCTAAGAACGAATATTCAACTTTTTTTTTTTATTAGGGCTGTCAAACGATTAAAATTTGTAATCGAGTAAATTACAGTTTAAATATTAAATAATGGCATTTGGAACTATCAGTAAAATTATGCAATTTTTCTCTGTACATGGTGGTTTGAATGAATAATTAACAACATAGTGTACATACAGTGGGGCAAAAAAGTAGTCAGCCACCGATTGTGCAAGTTCTCCCACTTACAATGACAGAGGTCTAATTTTCATCATTAGGTAGACTTCAACTGTGAGAGACAGAATATGGAAAAAAATAATTGTAATAATCCAGGAATTCACATTGTAGGATTTTTAAAGAATTTATTAGTAAATTATTGTGGAAAATAAGTATTTGGTCAATAACAAAAATTCAACTCAATACTTTGTAATATAACCTTTGTTGGCAATAACAGGTCAAATGATTACTATAGGTCTTTACCAGGTTTGCGTGCACAGTAGCTGGTATTTTGGCCCATTCCTCCATGCAGATCTTTGAGAGCAGTGCTGTTTTGGGGCTGTCGCCGAGCAAGACTGACTTTCAACTCCCTCCACAGATTTTCAATGGGGTTGAGGTCTGGAGACTGGCTAGGCCACTCCAGGACTTTCAAATGCTTCTTACGAAGGAGTGGCTCCCACTCCTTTGTTGCCCAGGTGGTGTGTTTGGGATCATTGTCATGATCTAAAGTCCCTCAGCCCATTTGCCTCCTCCGTAACTACTACTTTATCCTCTTCCCCTCACCCCCGTCCTGACTCATCCACCTCAGAACTCGTCGACCATCATAATCAGATCCTCTCCTCCTGCCTGAACCAGTTCGCTCCCCTCAAAAACTGCCACAGTCTCCTTTTCCACCTCTGCTCCTTGGTACACCCCAGACCTTCACAACCTCAAGAAGAAACGCAGACAGCTTGAAAGACTCCACGCCAAGACTGGTCTTACTGTTCATGCCGAAGCCTACAAATACTTCACCACCTACAACACCGCTCTCAAATCCGCCTGTTCTGATTATTTCTCTCAGCTCATCCGCTCCAATTCCTCTAACTCACGCACTCTTTTTTCCACTTTCGCCCGTCTCACCAAGCCCATTGACAATATCACCTCCACATTTACAACAGACAAATGCAACAATTACCTCTCATTCTTCCATTCTAAGATCCATACAATACACAATACCCTGCAGAGCTCTTCCTCTCACCATCTCTCCTTTGAAACCCATTTCCCTGTCGACCTATCCAGAAATCACAGCCTTTCCTCCTTCTCCCTGCTCTCAACAACCGACACCGCCAAGCTCCTCTCTAACATGAAACTCAGCACCTGCCATCTTGACCCCACTCCATCCACTCTCCTGAAAGCCCTCTCTGACTCCACTCATCACAAACATCATAAACTCCTCCCTCACCACCGGCACTGTCCCTCCAAATCTCAAAATCGCCACCATCAAGCCTCTCCTCAAAAAACCCAACCTAGACTCCAAAAACCTGAACAACTTCCGCCCCATCTCAAATCTCCCCCTCCTATCAAAAATCCTAGAACGTGCCGCCATAACCCAAGTTCAACAATACCTCCACCTTCTCCCTCTTTGAAATTTTCCAATCCGGTTTCCGTCCCCATCACAGCACTGAAACAACCCTCCTAAAAGTATCCAACGACTTTATCCTTGCAGCTGACTCCGGTTCCCTTTCCATCCTCCTCCTCGACCTCTCCGCAGCATTTGACACCATCGACCACTCTATCCTCCTCCACCGTCTTCAATCTATTAGCATCTCCAACACTGTTCTATCCTGGTTTTCTTCATACCTCTCCGACCGTCATTATGTTTCCATTAACAACTGCACATCCCAAACCTTCCGTGTCTCCACTGGTGTTCCCCAAGGTTCGGTACTGGGCCCCCTCCTCTTCATCATTTACATGCTTCCCCTTGGCCACATCATCCGTCACCATGGTCTACACTTTCACTGCTACGCTGACGACACCCAGGTCTACATCTCCACCAAATCCATCTCCCCAGTCATCCTCGCCACCATCTCACACTGAATCTCTGACATTAAATTCTGGATGGACCACAATTTCTTGAAACTGAATAGCAATAAAACCGAACTCCTCATCACCGGACCCAAGTCATTCCTTCCCTCTGCTCAAAACATATCCCTCAACATTGACGGCCACACAGTCACTCCCTCTGTACGCAACCTCGGCGTTATTATGGACTCCACCTAGGGCTGGGCGATTAATCGATTTTAATCATTAATTCGAGTTTTACGTTTAGGGCGATTTCTTTTTTTAAAAATTCGATTTTTATTTTCTCCAGCGCAGAACTACAGCGCTAACGCGCTAACCGCGGGTCTATGGTGTTGAGCAGTCATTTTGAAGCTAACCTAATGCTAACAGTCTCCCTCTGGCCTGATGCTCGCTCTCACAGTTGGTGCTGTTGCAATAACACTTCAAACGTTCAAGAATCAGACTATTTAATCGCCAAAACACACACACACGCACGCAGGCTCCGGTCGCTATGTTCGTACGCCACATCTTTCACGCTCTCTCACGCTCGTTATTCCAAAGCGCACTCCCGTGTCCGTGGCGCGCACACACTCGTGTCCCACTGAGCCGCTGCACTTTGGGGAAAGACACGTCTCACACATTGCTCTCATTGCTCTGATACAAACAACGTGTTCCCCGCTGTCTGTTAGCTACAGTAGCTGCTACAGTAGCTGTTAGCTACAGCATCAGAATGTAAACAGGAAGCTCGCACAATGCGGGAGTCACTGAAGTTAGTATTAGCGCCACCAGCTGGACCGAGCGTTGTACTACAGCACAGTTACTCAGGCACAGTTTAAAGAACAAGCATGAAAACCCGAGGAGGTTTTTGGAAAAGACTGTTGTTACAACATTTCTATTTTGAGTAATCAGTTTTAAAAATGTGATATTTCATGTAAATAATGCATGTGTTTAATAGGATTGATATATTTGCGATGGGCCTTGTTTGTGTGATTTAAGTTATTTTGAAGGTGTATAGTGTCATTGTAAGTGAAGTTATTATAAAACTGTTAAGCTACATTTTCACTGTTTACAATGGCAGAGCCATCTCGTTTACAAGCATGTTTTAAGGATTAATTCTTGTTACACTTATGCTCCATGGGGATTTAGATTAAACTGCATGAAGGAAAATCTATTTCTTTGTCAGTTGTAGTTTGTTTTTAAATAGAAAAAAATAAATCGATTAAAATCGAAAATCGGATTTGGTGTGAAAAAAATCTGAGATTTTTTTTTTTTTGCCATATCGCCCAGCCCTAACTCCACCCCACATTAACCTCATCTCCAAAACATCATTTTTCCACCTCCGTAACATCGCTCGCCTCCTCCCCTCTCTCTCTCAATCCTCTGCTGAAATACTGGTTCATGCCTTCATCACCTCTAGACTTGACTACTGCAATAGCCTCCTCTTCGGTCTCCCTTCCACTCATCTTCAAAAACTACAATACATTCAGAACTCCGCCGCCCGCCTTCTCACCCACACCAGAGATCACATCACCCCTGTCCTCAAAAAACTCCACTGGCTCCCTGTCCCATAACGCATCCAATACAAGGTCCTCCTCCTCACCTACAAGTCCCTCCATAACCTGGCCCCCCCTTACCTCACTGACCTCCTCCATCATCACTGTCCCTCCCACCGCCTCAGATCCACAGACTCCAACCTCCTCACTCCCCTCAGGACTAAACACCGAACCTTGGGGGACCGAGCCTTCGCTGCAGCTGCCCCCACTCTCTGGAACTCCCTCCCTCAACCCGTCAGAAACTGACTCACTACAGAACTTTAAATCTCTCCTAAAACCCCACCCGTTTCATCTTGCCTTTCCTTAATTTTGTTTTTCAATGTTTATTTCTACGTGTTTTGTAAAGCGTCTGAGTGTCCAAAAAAGCGCTATATAAGTTTGATGCATTATTATTAGTATTATTCACATGACATTCTCCCAATCCTCTGCTGTATCATCCATGTGCTCTCTGGAAAACTTCAGACGGGCCTGGACATGCACTGGCTTCAGCAGGGGGACACGTCTAGCACTGCAGGATTCTGTCGTCGTAGTGAGTTACTGATGGTAACCTTTGTTACTTTGGTCCCAACTCTCTGCAGGTCATTCACCAGGTCCCCCCGTGTGGTTCTGGGATTTTTGACCACCGCTCTCATGATCATTTTGACCCCACGGGATGAGATCTTGCGTGGAGCCCCAGATCGAGGGAGATTATCAGTGGTCTTGTATGTCTTCCATTTTCTGATAATTGCTCCCACAGTTGATTTGTTCACACCAAGCTGCTTGCCTATTGTAGATTCACTCTTCCCAGTCTGGTGCATGTCTACGATTCTTTTCCTGGTGTCCTTCGACAGGTCTTTGGTCTTGGCCATAGTGGAGTTTGGAGTCTGACTGTTTGAGGCTGTGGACAGGTGTCTTTTATACAGATAACGAGTTCAAACTGTTGCCATTAATACAGGTAACGAGTAGAGGACAGAAGAGCTCAGAAGAAGAAGTTACAGGTCTGAGAGCTGAATTTATAATGGGGGTCGCGGGCTACAAACTTTGGGAACCCCTGGTGTAGTAGACTGGAGGACAGAAGAGCTTCTTCAAGATGTTACAGGTCTGTGAGAGCTAGAGATCTTCCTTGTTTGAAGTGACCAAATACTTATTTTCCACCATAATTTACAAATAAATTCTTTAAAAATCCTACAATGTGTTTTCATGGATTTTTTTTTTTTTACATTCTGTCTCACAGTTCAAGTGTACCTATGATGAAAATTACAGACCTCTGTGCAAGTTCTCCCACTTAAAATAATGACAATCGGTGGCTGACTAAATACTTTTTTGCCCCACTAAGTGGTGCCCATATGGCCGATATCCGCTTGCTGCCAAGATAGCTACTTTCGGAGATCACCATGGCAACATAGACTGTCTGCAGTAGTGACGCTAATGTAAATTAAAAATTTGGGTATCGGTGCAGGCATCAGGTCCTATGGTACAAGTACGGGAATGAATACAAGCCTATGTATCGACCAGATATCATTAGGGATGCACCAATACTGGTAAGTGTGACTAGGATGGATAGAATTAGGAATGGGTTAGGAATGGGAACAGTTGGGGAGAGAAAAGGTGTGCTATATGACCTGGTTGGTAGAGCAGAATGAGACGGTATGGCATACACATAGAACAAATAATAGTTGCATGAATGGTAGACCGAGAGGTGGGCCATGGTATGGATGAAATTATGGCGTGAAGAGTGCACTGAATGCGAGTGGTATGATAGTGGAGGAAGCGAGTATTCCCGCAAGATTGGGAAGAATTGATTGTGTTTGAATGCGTGAACTGACGCAATCCTGATGGGTCCACTGCCTACATGTAGGACGGTAAACCAGTTCTTGTTCTCGGGGTAAGCTAGGGCCATGACCCCACCTGAAGGTGGATGAATGAATGAATGTGTGTGATCGGAACTAGAGTTTCGCTTTTCAGCCCAAGACCGAGCCCGACCCCGAGTTCGGGCCGCCCTCGGGCCTCATTTCAGCGCTCTGCAGTCGGGCCGTGCCGGGTTTGGGCTCCTTTTTAATAATTTTTTTTCCCCCATATCATTATAATTTTTTTTATTTTTATACATAATGATATGCATATATGTATTTATTAATAATAATGTCCGTTGATTGACAACAAGTTATTAAAATAATTAATATATTTATAACACCGTAACCGGCGTGTCCTAGCCGTGAACGCATCATCCCCGTTTTTCCCTGGTGGACGTACAAAACACATTCAGAAGTGGCTAAACTTGCAATTGGAAGATGAGTGTGTGCAACAAGGGAAATCAGATGTGTCCGGCTTCTGTCGGGCTCGGGCCTATTATACAGCGTTAATTGGTCAGGCTTATACGGGCTCGGGCCAGGCTGGGGTTGATTTTTCAGGAACCTCATCCTTTAGTCTACCACCCGCCTAGGAGGAAATGGTTTACGGCTGTAGTTAGAAAGCATTGGCAGATGACAGAAGGCAGCAGACCTTGAGGAAACTCTCAAACTTCTGCCCGATGTCCTTGTGGTTGAGGATGCTGCGGGCCACACATAGACCTTCTTTCTTGGACTGCTCCATCATGGCCTGCAAACGGAGAGGCCAGGTTAAGAGTCATGACATTCATCAAGGTTGACATGCACAAATTATATTTAGTCTTCTCTGCTACTTTCATTCAAAGCACAGCACCAAATTACTTTGTTTTTTTTCCCACTATGGTTCTAATTTTTACACACTGTACTACAGTGCCTTGCGAAAATATTCGGCCCCCTTGAACCTTTCGCCACATTTCACACACAATCGTGAAACAAAATTTATTGGATAATTTAAACTTTTTTAACAAATAAAAAACTGAAAAGTGGGGCGTGCAATATTATTCGGCCCCCTTGCGCTAATACTTTGTAGCGCCACCTTTTGCTGCAATTACAGCTGCAAGTCGCTTGGGGTATGTCTATCAGTTTTGCACATCGAGACTGGAATTCTTGCCCATTCTTCCTTGCAAAACAGCTCGAGCTCAGTGAGGTTGGATGGAGAGCGTTTGTGAACAGCAGTCTTGAGCTCTTTCCACAGATTCTTGATTAGATTCACGTCTGGACTTTGACTTGGCCATTCTAACACCTGGATACGTCTATTTGTGAACCATTCCATTGTAGATTTGGCTTTATGTTTTGGGTCATTGTCCTGTTGGAAGATAAATCTCCGTCCCAGTCTCAGGTCTTTTGCAGACTCCAACAGGTTTTCTTCCAGAATGGTCCTGTATTTGGCTCCATCCATCTTCCCTGTCCCTGCTGAAGAAAAGCCGGCCCAAACCATGATGCTGCCACCACCATGTTTGACAGTGGGGATGGTGTGTTCAGGGTGATGAGCTGGGTTGCTTTTACGCCAAACATTTCGTTTTGCATTGTGGCCAAAAAGTTTAAACGAAGCAAACTTTAAACGAGACTTTTTATGGATATCTTGGCTTTCTTCTTGCCATGGTTCTCTCTGCGCTTTAAACAGAACCCCAAGACTATCAAAGAGCAGGTGCATTTATACGGAGACTTGATAACACACAGGTGCATTCTATTTATCATCATCAGTCATTTAGGACAACATTAGATCATTCAAAGATCCTCACTGAACTGGAGTGAGTTTGTTGCACTGAAAGTAATGGGGCCGAATAATATTGCACGCCCCACTTTTCAGTTTTTTATTTGTTAAAAAAGTTTAAATTATCCAATAAATTTCGTTCCACTTCACGTTTGTGTCCCACTTGTTGATTCATGACAAAAAATTTAAATTTGTTATCTTTATGTTTGAAGCCTGAAATGTGGCGAAATGGTTCAAGGGGGCTGAATACTTTCGCAAGGTACTGTACAGGTAGAAAAAAAGCAAGAAAAATATCAATTGTAAAAACACAAACTACTTGCTGCCATTTCCAGCATATTCGAACCCCTACTTAGACAAACCGCAGCATCAAAAGCAGTGATCTAGGGTAAAACAAATGTAGCAATACACGTGACGTTGAAAAGGAAGCATGTCATATAAACAGTCAATCGGTGTAAACTGCAAAAACTCATTGTGGGGAGGAGAAGTACTACCACCAGAAGAAACAGACTGCTGTTACTGGACAGATGCTGCATTAGGGCGGTATGGTGGCTAGTGGATAGCACTCTCACCTCTCAGAAAGTGGTCAGACAGACAAATGCTAACGTTGCAGGATAAATGTCCACTGCCACATAAAATAAGGGGACTCTAATGTGTCATGCCAGGGCAAAACCATTTTAATTACATTCAATCACTTACTTATACCAGAGAAGACATGTATTACGAGCAAGCCAAAATGGGAGCCATTTGTAAACATTGTGCAGTGGCAGAGTTTGGCTTGTTGCCTCACTGCTCTTTCCTTTACAATTAGTCTAAATAAAAACATATATGTTTAAAACAGTTTATATTGTTACACTTTCAAAAACTGTCGGTTGACATGGTTTATTGTGGAAGTATTGGTTTTTTCAGTTTGAGAACCAATACTTCCATTTTTATAAATCCACACACTCAAGTCCTGCTCTGATTAGCGTGTATGTGACTCTGGTCCTGCAGATGTAGAAACACCAACTTAGCCCGATTTCGGAAAAAGCCAGGGACTCTTACCTTGCGGTTATAATTATGGTCTGCAGACTTTAGGTGTGACTGGATCAGCTGGTTCTGCATGGGAATGAACAGATCACAGGCCCCGCAGTGAGCTGCCTCCACCTTCCTGATGAAATGCTCCAACCCCAGCTCTGTGCACACAACAAACAAACTAATGGATGAGATGGGGTTACAAGTAAAGGCAACATTCAAAAGCACATTTACATAAGCAATAGAGCTCAAGAACCAATATTTTTTGGCCGATTCATTCCTTTTGGAACCAATATTACTAGCCAAAGCCCAATTTAGGAATAGAATACAAAGGCGCCCTCTGTATCACAGGCGCTGACAACTGCCACCTTGACAGACATTAGAATTAGATAAATATTCATTAAAACGACAATATAACTTAATATATTGTCTTTAAGCTCACTGTGTAGCCATGATAAGAGATGTGTAATATGCTTAGTCTGTAATACTTGCATTGTTAATGGATGTCCATATGTCACTAGTTTGGGTTGTGGTGGAAAGTGTACTTTGCTAAGTGCAATTTTTGGGTTGTCAGCGTGTGAAAAGACAGGGATCCTTATTAGGCCACTATGTTTGAACTGTGACAGTAATGTAACCATGATGCAGGTGTGTTTTTTTGGTCTAAATGAGTCTGTAGCACAATGGAGTTCAGAGCAGGCATGGTCACAGCACCAAACTAGAGATGTGCTGTGACAATGCAGGCTTTCCTTGCGTTGAGAGTATACATTGACCTGTGTGTTTGTGTCTCACTTACCTGCCTTAGAGCAATGGATGCAATTTAGCTAGTGTGTCAATTCCAGCATATTTATGTTGACGCTGTTGGCAGACACACTAATGAATACTGAATGTCCTAAATTCTAATAAATACAAATAAATTAATTAATGCTATTCTAATAATTTTTTTACCCTACTGATGTATTGCTGCAATTCTGTCCAGGTGAACTGCAGCTTGAACCAGCTTTAACAAAAAAGCTGTAACTAAACTATAAAGTTAGTTTGTGTGTCCACATTATTTGAACAGTTCTGATTCAGTGGACTATAGAGTAGTGGCTTGTATGGTCAACTAAGAAATGACAAAACATTTTATTAGCATGCCGATGTCTGAGTCTGATTATTGCGTTATTGTGGAAGGTGAGGGCCGTTTATTTTCTTGACAAAATATGACCCCACCCCGATTATAATTATCTATTACCATACAAGGTTAATCTAATTCGAAAAAAACCAAAAGCTTTATGGGAGTCCAAGGATAAATTGTGCAATCAGAGGGAATTTTTTTGACAGCGAAGATATTGTATAGCAAGCATATTATCAGAGGCCAAACTGTTAATAAAGCCAGTTTGGTCGCAATTGTTTTTAACATGTAAGGGTCAATATGATGAGTGAGGATACGTGCATGTAGCGACTGTGATGCTAAAGCCGCTGGAGAATTAGAGAACGGGTCCAGTACCTTCATGACGCGCTGCTTATGTGGAAGAAGCACACCGACGCGCAACTGCGTTTTGTGTGGCATTTAATCAATAGTGACAGATAACATTTTGGCCATATCCATGTGTGCACAAAATATACTGTTAAAAGAAAAAAGGCTTCCCAGATCCCTTAAACATCTCACCTGAATGCTGGTGTCTACCATATTTAAAAAGGCATACCCCCAGAGCTCACATGAAGCACACACTTCTCCTGACATTACCATAACAACGGCAAACATTATGGCTTTAACTGTGCATACACTTTGATATCAGGATTTAAATCATGATGGTCAATAATCGCATGATGTTTTGATAATCCTTCAGAACATTGGACCCAGATCATTCCAGAAAACGTTATATTGCATTTCTTTGGAGTTGGTCTTGCTGGCAGTCAAAGCTGTACCCAATTCGCTACAAAGTATTAGCGCAAGGGGGCCGAATAATATTGCACGCCCCACTTTTCAGTTTTTTTATTGGTTAAAAAAGTTTAAATTATCCAATAAATTTCGTTCCACTTCACAATTGTGTCCCACTTGACGTCAATTCTTGACAAAAAATTTAATTTTTATATCTTTGTTTGAAGCCCGAAATGTGGCGAAATGTTGAAAGGGTCAATACTTTCGCAAGGCACTGTATCTTCACAATAGGACAGTTTGTAATGGTTCTCAAACTGGTCTCTGTATCATGGAAAAAGGGGTGCTACAGGGCTCAACCCCTGGACCTGTTTTATTTTCTATCTTCATCAATGACCTACCCAAAGTGTGTAGTCATTGCCAGACTCTTCTATATGCTGATGACACTTGTCTATATGTCAGGTGCAATTCAAAAGTGGCTCAATAAATACAGTGCCTTACAAAAGTATTCACCCCCCTTGGCTTTTTACCTATTTTGTTACATTACAACCTTTAGTTCAATGTTTTTTTTTTATCTGAATTTCATGTGATGGATCAGAAAACAATAGTATAAGTTGGTGAAGTGAATTGAGAAAAATATATACATACAACTATTTTTCAGAATGTATTCACCCCCTTTGTTATGAAGCCCATAAAAAGCTCTGGTGCAACCAATTACCTTCAGAAGTCACATTATTAGTGAAATGATGTCCAATGTGTGCAATCTAAGTGTCACATGATCTGTCAGTATACACACCTTTTTTGAAAGGCCTCAGAGGCTGCTACACCTAAGCAAGAGGCACCACTTACCAAACACTGTCATAAAGACCAAGGAACTCTCCAAACAAGTAAGGGACAGTTTTGTTGAGCAATACAAGTCAGGGTTAGGTTATAAAAAAATATCCAAATCTTTGATGAGCACCATCAAATCTATCATAACCAAATGGAAAGAACATGGCACAACAGCAAACATGGCACAACAGCAAACCTGCCAAGAGACGGCCGCCCACCAAAACTCACGGACCGGGCAAGGAGGGCATTAATCAGAGGCAGCACAGAGACCTAAAAGGTAACCCTGGAGGAGCTGCAGAGTTCCACAGCAGAGACTGGAGTATCTGTACATATGACGACAATAAGCCGTACGCTCCATAGAGTTGGGCTTTATGGCAGAGTGGCCAGAATAAAGCCATTACTTTCAGCAAAAAACAAAAGGCACGTTTTGAGTTTGCGAAAAGGCATGTGGGAGACTCCCAAAATGTATGGAGGAAGTCTGATTAGACTAAAATTGTACTTCTTTTTCTCATACATATGCTTATAACCAATTGCTTTAATATATACTGTAATTGTAATTACTTATTTTTCATGCAAATATTCTAATTAGAATATTATATGACCAAAACAGGTATAAGACACCAGTATTCCTGGTCTAGGAGAAACACAAAGGAGTAATGGTCATTTTAAAGACCTGATGGCCGCCATTTTGAAAACGGGGCCTTTCTTGGAGTCAAACTTTTAATATGTGTTTAAGTACATCTGATACTACTGTAAACTACTGTAAACCACTGAGTAACCTTGTGTTAGAATTTTTTTGGGGTCAAGCCATATTTGCAGCTGACCAAAGGGGAAATATGTACAAATCTGGCCAAAAGTGGGAATGCACTCTCCCTGTCTCAGGTTGCCAGATATGCAGACGAATCCAGCCGGGACCATAATAGCTAAATAGACAAGAGTTTTGGTAACAAATCTATAGATGCATTTCACGTTTACCAACATTCGGAGGTTTGCGTGCATCCGAGGAGAAATACATTCTTAGCAGCTAAGTGGCTAACATTGTAAGGCCCCGTCCCAATTTTGAGGGCCCTCCAGGTGTCCCTCACCCGAAATGGGACACCCTTGGATCTAGGGGACAATATGCAAATTACGCAGCAAACATGTTCGTCACACACATTATCAATGTCTGATTTCACCACATAAGCTCTGACACAGATATGACTTGATGAAACACAGTATTTATTGAAATGAGACGTTTTTAACTTTACCCAATTATAGAAAATCTTCATATGAAATACAGGACTGCTGCACATCCCAGACAGAAGCGCACACAGACACATGTACACACGCAAACAGACAAACGCATGTACAAACACAGTGTGACACATGTACATACACGTACACACACAGACGTACCACACAGAGACACCCGCGTACCACACATACAGACGAGTGCAGCTGCGGATCAAGTAAACTGTGTCAAAGTGATGAACTACATCATGGATCTAAAATAATAACATGCACCACGTCTCTGAAGCCTCAGTGAATGCCGAACACTGCAGCTACTTTACCAACAACTATCATAATTCGAGGGTTACAATCCTCGCGGGCACGCACAAAATCTAGGGCAAGGGTGAGAATTGGGACGGGGCTTTAAGCCACCACCATCGCCATTTTGCTACGGTCTCCCTGGAAATAATGGAGCCGTTTCCCTGCACTATTAATGTACTAAAATTAATCACGTTTGCTTTTAACTAGGATTTGTTTTAGGCCGAGTCAATGTAAGCTGCTCCATTCTCAAAAGCAGGTCGGAGAAAGTCCCAAACAATTTGCCATCTCTCAGATTTGTGTCAAAGCAACCAATGCACATAATCGATGCGTGGACCACGCAGCAGTGAGCTTACCTCGTGTCAGGTCGCGCTCCTTGTACACCTGACAGATGGTGGAATGGTGGTTCTCCAGTTTACACACACGGGACTCCGTCTTTTTCATCTTGTTCATAAGATACTCCTAAAAAAATAAAAATAAAGATTTTTAAATCTTTAGTTTGGCATGTAAGCTCTACCTTAAAAGATCCCATAATACGCTTTTTTACTTCTCATTCCAGAGCTATTTGGCCTTCATACACATGCCCAGAGTAGTTTTTTCACTGATTCTGTTAAGCTTTAGTTAGAGAGCGATCTGTCTCCTTCACCTTTGAGGCAGTGAAACGCCCGGGTCCACATCTGTGACAATTACCACACTAATGACAAACATGACGGGCATAAGCCAGTTTTCTTTCATATTTTCACTGTGATCCCGGTTCCTAAAATAGCACACGCCAAGGAACCGGTGTTCTGTCGAGTTGGTCTGCCCGTCGAGATGATCTGCCTCAGCTGTTAATGATGTAATCCAAACCTGCGTGTCTCACGGCAGCCGAAGCAATCCAAGATGGCGGACATGAAGTCCACGAATTGCTTTAAAAGTTAAAATACGAACGAATTAAGACACAAATGTCACTTTTAATGCAATTTGAGGAGAGATGTTGATGGCTCCACATTGTGATATATGTGTTTTGAGAGTAGGAGTTTCGTGTAAAGTTTGTTTTAAGCAGTCCACTGCTCCTGTGAAACTACACAGTCCCCGAGTTGTCTGCTGCATACGTCATTTTACTGACGTAGGCCCATGACGGGTCCTGTGATTGGTCTTTCGGGTTGATAATGGAAATAATAAATTAAATTTAATGCATGTATCATACTGTATTCAATATGATTAACAATAGTGTGTTCAAACAAAATATTTAATTAGATAAGAGTTTTTTCCCCATTCTGGCAGGTTTCTGCGCATGCGCAAATCAGATTTGGGTACACTAGCAGTGTAGTTTCACAGGAGCAGTGGACTGCTTATAACAAACTTTACACGAAACTAGGGTTTAATATTTTTCCCGAAAATGAGACGTATTAAATCCCGGGAAAAGACGACGCCTTTCCCGGGAAATCCCGGGAAATAGCTGTTGTTTGTAGTTGTTGTTTTTAGCTCAAGTAATGTATGATATCACTCATATAATCCAACAAAAGCTGCCGTCTCCACTAGTGTTTCACCAAGCGACGTGCTAGCTTTGCTAAAGTAGCCATAGCGTTTTCAGACGTTTTGTTGATGGGCTTTCTTCAGGAATTTCACTATTATGAGATTCTAAATGTCTGCCCAATCCACTTGTCGACCAGTGACGTGCGGTGTGGTTTGGAGGCACTGACTTCAGCCCAATGCAGATGAACATATATCATAAATCAACATAACCTACAGAGCGGCTTATTCACAATTAGTTTGGCTACAGCAGAATGTTTTCCATGGCCCGCATTATTTGCTCAAACAAAACGCAAAAGTTCGTAAAAGGCACATTTCCAATTGTGTTATGGGTCTTACCTTAGTTATAAATGACCTGCACAGACCACTTTGGTTCAGACCAGTTTCATGTTTAAGTCCAGATAATAGTTTGAGCGTAGATATGTAATCCCCCATTTGGAAATAAGCCCAAAGAGTTTTAAAGCGTAAAACAAAACAGGTGCCACCTCCATAAACTCCTGTGTTTTTGCTGGCTGCAGCCGGCTCTCGGGCGCATCCAATTTCTAATATCAACCTTCTTACCCTTCTCCTCTCTTCCTTATCATTCCTATCGTCATTGGAAGCAGAACATTACCCTAAATGCATTTTATATGATCTTAAAATGTGTTATATGTATGTTAGCCAAACCTGTTGCTGCCCTTAGCAGATGGAAAAAAAGAAAGGCGCTTTCTGATAGAATTGGACGTAGCCAAATTCTGGGCTCACATGCGCCCCGTACCCTGAGGCTGGCCTCATTACAAGTCGTGGTTTAGCGCGATTAAGACCCATATTTGTTGTCAAAAACACAATTTATGAGCCATCCTCTCAGCTGTAGACATGTTGATTGTAAATGAAATATGTTTGAACTTTGAACAACAATAAACGAGCTCTATAATAGGAGCGCACTGGAATTTTTTCCCGTTTCCCGTCATAACATTTCCCGGGAATCGGGAAATAGTTTTGATCAGATTTCCCGGGAATCCCGTGTCCCGGGATTAAACCCTACACGAAACTCTACTCTTAAACCCCACATATCACAACGCAGAACCATCAACATCTCGCCTCAAATTGCATTAAAAGTAACTCGTTCGTACTTTAACTTTTAAAACAATTCGGGGACTCCATGTTTGCCATCTTGGATTGCTTCGGCTGCGGTGAGACGCGCAGCGCTGGTTTGCATTACATTATTAACAGCTGAGGCAGATCATCTCGACGGGCAGACCAACTCGACAGAACACCGGCTCACTACAGACCAGTCGCACTGACCCCCCCCCACCTGATGACCATGGAGCGGCTCATCCTCACCCATCTCCGCTCTGTGGTCATTCCCACCCTGGACCCGCTGCAGTTCGCCTACAGGCCCAACATCGGAGTAGAGAACGCAATCATCTACTTACTGCAGCGGACGCTCTACCACCTGGAGCCTGCCGGGAGCGCTTTGAGGGTCATGATTTTTGACTTCTCCAGTGCTTTCAATACCATAAGACCGGCACTGCTGCGGGAGAAGAGGGAGGACGTGGGAGTGGACAGTAACCTCACTGCATGGACCATCAACTACCTCTGACCAACCACAGTACATGCGGCTGCGCAGCTGAGAGTCTGAGGTGGTAGTCTGCAGCACTGAGGCCCCTCAGGGCACTGTCCTCTCACCGTTTCTCTTCAACATCTACACTTCAGACTTCACATACGACACACACAGCTGTCACCTGCAGAAGTTCTCCTACGACTCCGCCATCGTGGGCTGTGTTTCTGAGCTGTGGTAGCCTCTGCCATACACTACACTGCCGTGTAATGGGCCCGGGCATCACAGAGCAGGACAGGAGCAGACTGAACAAGCTAGTCAGGAGGGCCAGCTCCACTCTGGGCTGCTCCCTGGTTTCTGTGGAGGTGGTGAAGGACAGGAGGTGCTAGACAAAGTCACCATCATGGACAACACCTCCCACCCACTTCACAGAATTAGCTCTGTTATGGCCAGTTCCCGGCACAAGATATTCTAATCATTTAGGTCGATACATGCGTCTTGTTTCCCAGCGTCTGAAACTGCTTCCCATCACTGTTTGAAACATTAGCACAAAGGGCCTCTTGTTCAGCAATAGCCTTGGCCACCATCTGCAGGTGCGTATCTCAAATGTACTTACAGCGTGTTCCCTCTTATCAAATTCGAAGGTCCTTTTCTGCGCTTAATGTATCTCTCCCAAACTTGCCTTTCTCGGCACCTGCGTATGACTCATCTCTTGTGACGAATGTTCATTGTTCTGTCTGACACACCTCCAGTATAAGATCATAGACACGCTTGTTGGGCAGGAAGACAGACACGGCATCGGTCCAGGTCCCGTTTCTGTCTGGCTCCTTTCTGCGCAGAAATGTCATTTTTGTACTCATCACTTCTGTGAATAAACTGCACAAAAGGACAAGTTTGTTTCCTCTCGGAATTATTTCATTTGAAGCATCAGAATTCCCATAACAATTTGGTGTCAGAAGTGGTCTCGACGGGTCCGTACGGGGGGGGGGGGGGGGGGGGGGGGGGGGGAGTGGGGGGGGCGGGGGGGGGATGGGGGCGGGGGGGGAAGGTGGGGGGGGGGGGGGGGGGCGACCGTTGAAACGCAGGGGGGGGGGAGGGGGGCCGGTACGGGGGGGGCGCGGGGGGGGGGGGGAGACGGCGGGGGGGGTGGGGGGGCGGGGGGTGGGGGGGGGAGGGGGGGGGGAGGGGGGTGGGGGGCGAGGGGGGGAAGGGGGGGGGGAGCCGGAGGGGGGGGGGGAGGGGGGCCGGGGGGGGGAGGGGGGAGGGGCCGGGGGGGGGGAGGGGGGGGGGGCGGAGGGGGGGGGGCAGGGGGGGGCGGCGGGGGGGGGAGGGGGGGGGGGGGGGGGGGGGGGGGGGGGGGGGGGGGAGGGGGGGGGGGGGCAGGGGGCGGGGGGGGGGGGGGGGGGGGGGGGGGGGGGCGGGGGGGGGGGGGGGGGGGGGGGGGGGGGGGGCGGGGGGGGGGGGGGGGCGGGGGGGGGGGCGGGGCGGGGGGGGGGGGGGGGGGGCGGGGGGGGGGGGGGGGGAGGGGGGGCGGGGGGGGGGGCGGGGGGGGGGGGGGAGGGGGGGTGAGAGGGGGGGGGAGGGGGGGGGGGGGGGGGGGGGGCGGGGGGCGGGGGGGGGGGGGGGCCGGGGGGGGGGGTGAACGGGGGGGGGGGGGCAGGAGGGGGGGGGGGGGGGGGGGAGGGGGGGGGCGGCGGGGGGGGCTGGGGGGGGCGGGGGGGGGGGGGGGGGGGGGGGGGGGAGCGGGGGGGGGGTGGGGGGGGGGGGGAGGGGGAGGGGGGGGGCGGAGGGGGGGGGGGGGGGGGGGGGGGGGGGGGGGGGGGGGGGGGGTGAGGGGGGGGGGGGGGGGGGGGGGTGGGGGGGCGGGGGGGGGGGGGGGGGGGGGAAGACACAAGTGGTTTTCTTCAACTGATGAATTTATTAGCATCCATCTTGTACAGATCCATATAAACACACCGTGAAAACTATAGGAAGACAGAAATAAAAAACGGGAATTTAGCTTAGCTTAAATACACAAAATAGACGTTACACAAAAATAAAGTTACAGAAAATAACAGGACAAGAACTAACCTCGTTGGCTGTGTACAGGGTGAGGAATTAGCTCTCGCTTGGTCTTTTTGTGCTATTTCTGCTTCAAAAACTCTTATTTCTTAATTGTGTGCTATTAACATGCACCTTTCGTCTCCTTACCGAGATCGCTTCTTCTGCGCGCAGCACATAGCTCAGAGCATGCACAGGCCAGGGACTAGACAAGTGCGCCCACTACTGGCGGAAAATAAAATTACACACAAAAAGCATATAAACAAAGAACAGGACTAATAACGGGGCAGTTACACTCCCACCAAATCTCACTAATCTCAATGTGGGATTTCAATACACAAATCAAACTGACACAAATGTGAACATGAATATTTCAAAACTTAGTTAGCTTCTAACAAAACAATGACTTTATGTATAGGTCTTTCAAGATAAGTAGTCTTAACAGTAAGCTTTCCATGTTTATCATGAGTACTTTCACTGACCAAAAGTCTGACCTTTCTCACTTTATTATCTGCTCCTGAGTAGACATCTGTGACTTTGGCTATCTTCCACTCGTTACGCGGTGCAAGATCTTCTTGTAGAAGAACGACATCATCAATCTTCACATCTCTTTTATGAACAGTCCATTTCTGTTTAATTTGCAGGTTGAGCAAATATTCTTTCCTCCAGCGAATCCAAAACTCGTTACTCAAATACTGTACCCTCTTCCATCGCTTTTGCAGGTACAAATCTTCTTTCAAGAACGATCCCGGTGGAGGTTGAACAATGGTTGACTTCATAGTAAGAATGTGATTGGGTGTCAACGGTTCGGGTCCTGTTGGATCATACAGATGGTCGACAGACAGTGGCCGACTATTGACAATTGCCATGACTTCGTACAACAAAGTTCTTAATGACGTACTGTCAAGTCTCTTTGCTGAATGGTCTAGAACAGCTGTAAGCACACTACGAATAGTCCTTATCTGCCTTTCCCACACTCCACCCATGTGGCTTGCTGATGGGGGATTCATGAGAAATTCACATCCAAGTGCCTTCATCCTTTCTTGATCCATGTCTTTGACGAGACTTGCAAACTCTCACTGGGCACCAACAAAATTGGTTCCTCTGTCACATCTTAACTGACGAACATTTCCTCTTATAGCAATAAACGCCCGTAGAGCATTGATGAATGCGTCAGTGCTTAAATCGTCGATCACTTCGATATGTATTGCCCGGGAACATAAACAAGTTGGACGGGAAGAGTCCATATCTCTTTAGATCTTTCCGTCCGTCCCGTTCACGCAAAGTCGGTCCAAAACAATCCATTCCAACGTACGTAAATGGAGGTGTTGGTTCTGTCCACGATCTACTGGTAAATCTCCCATACTTTGAATCTCAGCTTTTCGTCTGTATTTTCGACATTTCACACATTTGAAGATGTAAGATGAAACTGCACGACTGCATCCAAGAATCCACAAGCCGTTAGCACGCAGTTCATTCAGTGTCATTCCACGACCTTGGTGGTGAACTTTCATATGAAAATGTCTAATGAGTAGGGTTGAAATGTGACTTTCTCTGGGGAGGATTGCTGGATGCTTCGCGTGTGGGTGTAGCACTGCTTGACTCAAACGTCCTCCAACTCTGAGGATTCCTGTTTCGTCGACAAACGGACTAAGTTTGTACAATTTACTGTTCTTGGTGAGTTCTTTCTTTGCTTTCAGGCTCTTGATCTCGTCTGGAAACGCTTTCTGTTGAGCTAGCTTGATGACATACAGCTCAGTTTCTTTTCTCTCTTCTAAACTGGTACTTTCCTTTGTTCTTTGTACACTTGTATGTTCTTTCACTCTTCTTCTTAGTATTGCAAGGGCTTTGAACAATTTGGACCACTCTGAGAACCTTTCGAATCTGTTGAGAATGGTTGGCTCTTCTTTTGACTTTGTGGCGCAAACAAAAGCTTTGCGTATTTCCGGATCATTTTCTTTGATCTCTCCCACCTTGGAATCTCTATCCGGTAGGTTTACTTGCCAGAGAAATGAGGGTCCACTGAACCAGTTGGATGACTTAAGTTGCTCTGCTGACAAGCCTCTAGAAGCATAGTCTGCAGGGTTTGTCTCTGATGCAACATATGCCCATTGCTCTGGTGTTGTACTTGACTTGATTCTTTGTATGCGGTTTGCCACAAACACTTGAAATCTTCTGGCATCGTTATTGATATAGCCGAGAACTACTGTGAAGTCTGTCCAGAAATATTCTTCAATATCTGGGATATCAAGCTCGGTTTTAAGAAGGTCACTGACTCTAACGGCAACCACTGCGGCTGAAAGTTCGAGTCTTGGGATGGTTGTAACACTTGTGGGTGTAACTATTGACTTTGCCATTACTAAGGAACAGTGAACTTGATTGTATTCGTTAATGGCTCGTAGGTACGAACACATGCCGTAGCCGCTAACACTGGCATCTGCAAAGTTATGAAGTTCATACTTCTTGACTTGTCCAAAATCTGAAGGAAGGAAACATCTTTGAAGGTGAATGTCTGATAAACTGGGAAGGTCTTTAATCCAGGATTTCCACTGGGGTTTCAAGTGCTCTGGAAGTGCTTGATCCCAATCAACCTTTTCTCTGCACATTTGCTGGAGAATCTGTTTTCCTAAAAGAACAAACGGGGCGATGAAACCTAAAGGATCGTAAACAGAGGCTATGGTAGAAAGTACACCTCTTCTTGTAAGTGGGTTTGGCTTGACTAGTACTCTGAACTTGAAAGAATCTGAGGCGATGCACCATTCTACTCCAAGTGCTCTTTCGATTTGTGGCAAGCTTAAAGACATGTCACGATCTTTAACAGTAGCACGCTCCTTTTCTGGAATAGTGGACATTACATTTTCTCTGTTACACACAAACTTGTGGAGTCTTAACTTTCCTGTAGCGCATAGTTCTCTTGAGTCTTTGATAAGTTGAATGGCTTCACTTTCTGTAGAAACACTCACCAACCCATCATCAACATAAAAATTCCTTTCTATGAAACGAATGGCATTGTCTTCAAATTGGCCTTGTCCATTGGCTGCTAAGTGTTTCAGGCCAAAGTTGGCACAGCCTGGAGAAGACGCTGCTCCAAGAAGATGGACTTTCATTCGATAAACTGAAGGTGTGGTCTCTAAATCTCCCCTGTCCCACCAAAGAAACCTTAAATAATCCTGATCTACTCTTGTGACGTGAAATTGGTGAAACATTCGCTCAATATCACAGGTGAATGCGACAGAACTTTTGCGAAAACGACAAAGAACGCCCACCAACATGTTCGTCAGGTCAGGACCAGTCAATAGATGGTCGTTTAGGGAGGTATCTTGATATTTAGCTGAGGCATCAAATACTACTCTGATTTTACCTGGTTTGTGCGGATGATACACCCCATGGTGTGGGATATACCACGCAGGCGTGTTGTCCAACTCTTCATCTGGAACCTTTTCGGCATCTCCTCTTGAGATTACATCATCCATGAAGCTTGCATAGTCATTATAGTATGTCTTGTCCTTTTTCAATCTCTTCTCCAAACACTTCAGACGATGCATTGCACATACCTTATTGTCTGGGAGCTTGGGTCTTTCAGCACGAAATGGTAAGGGCATCTCGTAGTGTCCGCTTGTTTGATGTTCTCTCTAAGCTTGGAGAGGAACTTCAAATCTTCTTGAGAAACCGTGTCATCAAGAGTCCTTTCTGAGAAATCAGACTCAAGGGCCTTGATAATGTCTGAAGCTGTGACATCTCTCACCTTTGTCCTGTTAACATAGTGAACTTTACTGTGAAGATTTAAGGAGGACTCCAGCTCGGGAATGACTTTCTTTACTATAATCCGATGACTGATCCCGATAGCATCACCATAGTTTACAAGAGGATTACTTTGTCCAATGATGCTCCATCCCAGGTCAGTACGCTGAGCATAAGGCTCGTCTTCTTTGCCTGATACAACTTCTCGTGGGAGGAGAGCTTGTGAGCAGTTATACCCAACCAACATCCCTACTTCGCAGTCTTGTAATGGCGTGATCTCTGTCTGTAGGTGCTCCAAATGTGGCCACGCTTTAGCTGTCTCATCAGTTGGTATGTGAGCTTTGTTGGCTGGAATAAAGTCTCTTGTGAATGTTGGAGGTAGAGGTATTTTCTTGCTTGAGTTAAAGCCTCGAACTTGAAGATTTTGTAATCTCTGGGACTGAACAACCGTGGTCTTTGAAGACATGGTTGACAGTTCTAGTTTGACTGGTTCTTTGTCCGTGCATAGTGAATCGGCAACTTCACTGAGAACAAAAGTTGTGTCACTTTGTGAATCCAGTAACGCATACACAAGGACTTCTTTCGTAGCTTCTTTTGATGTAGAAAGCCAAACAGGAACTATTGCAGCTGTTTGGGTGTTGCCTTCTTGAAGTGCGACTCTATTTGATGTAGCTGTCGCTATAACTTGAGGTTCTGGAGTTGAACGTGTACTTGAACTGGGTCTTTCGTTGTTTGTACTTGGCTTCTCTGTTGTCTTTCTTTGTTCTTCTTTGACTCTGTCTTCGTGCAGACAGGTAGGGTGTTTTTTATTGCATGTTTCACAGATGCTGCGATTTGAACACTTCTTAGAGATATGGCCTGGTTTAAGACAACCAAAACATAACCTTTCAGACTGAATGAACTTGACTCTGTCTGGCACAGGTTTTTCCCGAAAACTTCTGCACTTATGAAGATTATGCCTGGGCATTTTACAGAACACACATGTAAATACTGTATTTTCTTCTGAAATTGTGGCTAGTGTTTTAGCTCCAATTTGTCTTTGCCGTATTACTTTCAGAGTTTCATGTTTGTCTGACTCACTTTGTTTCAATGAATGCAACGATGTGACTGGATTGCAGGCAATCTTAGCTTCTCTTGTTAAGAATGCTACAAATTGGCTGAATGACAGAAATAGATTAGT